ATATAACAAAGAGTGAAAAATTTAAGGGGGTCTGAATACTTTCCGTACCCACTGTATATATATATATATATATATATATACCTTATAATATCAAAGAGGTCTAATTATGAAGGACCATGTGTAAAGACTACAACAAATAGATGGATGGATGGATGGATGGATGGATCAAATATTTTGAGTTAGCGTGAAGAAGTGTGACACTCATAGTCAGCAATGCTGGTTATTTGGGCATGTGACATATTGTGATATTGCTGGTTCAGGTCATCATAGCCAAATTACTGCAAAGAAAGACATGTCTGGCACGTTTGTATGGGTAATGAGTTCCAGGAGGATGTTTTGTTTGGGAATGTACATCCGTGTCCTTTTCTCTTCATTTACTGATCCCTTACGTCCTGAGCGGGAGTACTGTGTCAAAATCGTATGCTGGCGCAGCAGAAGGATGGAATGAGGGAGGTCAAATCAATGGACTGTAACTGGGAATAAGCGAGAAACACAGGAAGGAAGAGGTAGATATGACCTTTAAGATGAATTAAAGGGAACCTATGCCATGGCGGATATTTTGAATGCTACAGTACATTGATTGTAATCTTATCAGTGTCACTGAACTGAAATGAGTTAACATGAATTTGCCAAAGGAAAATATTTGTGAATCCTGGAATCACATGACAATTGTCAGTCTCAGAATGAGCACAGAAAAGCAAGGCTGTCTGGAATAAATCACATAAACCTTTTAAGAACAGGAGTAATTTCTATAAAGGAGAAGTGTGCCAGTCACAGAGGAAACAGTTTGTGCTAAAGACAGCAGTGGAACAGCAAATATAGTTAAGGAAGGCCACAGACACATGCACAGATCTGCAGAGGCGGACAAAGTTACATTACTTGAGTGAAAGTACAGACACTGCTGGTCAAATATTACTCCATTACAAGTAAAAGTTGTAAAGACAGATTTTTACTTAAGTAAAAGTACAGAAGTACTTGCTTTTAAAAGTACTTAAGTACCTCTATGTGTAGCCATTCATCCACATTTGAACAGAGTGGACAGTGAAATCCTGTAAATACAGAGTGATAAGAAAGAAACTAAATCAAACCTGCTTTAAAACCCAGCAACACAACTGTAGCTGTACAACTTTACAACAGCAACACTGCTTTAACAAAAAAGCAAAACAGCAAGACTTATTTGACATAAAAACAAACTTTTTAAATGCTGTCTAATCGCTCTCGCTGTACTTTGATGTCACACACAGAACAGTCTGTGCAGTGCTGCTTCAAGTCCAACACCTTTTGTGTTTTATTAGGAGACGCTCAACAGTTTTTCTGTGGCTTTATAGGTAATATTTTCACCTACACAATTTAGCAAAATCAGACAATATTGTGTCTAATATATACCACAATATTAACTTCTTATTATCGAATTGTTGTAAATAAGTACCACATTTGCAGCTGGTCAGTGTTCAAAAAATGCTGGGAAATCTCTTCATGTAGCCCTACAAGAGTGATTACTGATAAACTGTCTGAAAAAAAGAAAGTCACGTTTTAGAGAAGAAAAAAATCACCCACTGACTTTTAAAGCTGTTACATAGTAACGACTTTCTACCTCGAGGACATTGATAGAAATGTATTGGAGTGAAAAGTACAATATTTGTCTTTCAAATGTAGTGAAGTTAAAGTTATAAGTTCCCAGAAAAAATAATACTCAAGTAAAGTACCGATACTCAAAAAATGTACTTAAGTACAATACTCAAGTAAATGTACTTAGTTACTGTCCGCCTCTGCAGATCTGTGAGAAGATGTGAAAATACCCTGATGTCTCAGTCTCTACTGCTTGTTATTGTCTCCTTTTCAAGCAGGCGTATAGTTTGCAGGTTAGAGACCAGAGGCTAAACTCTTCACCCACGGTCCCTAACATGAAATACTACACTAAATGATGTAAACTAGGCAAGTTGTTGATCATTTAGCATATTAGAAACTAACATAATAGCAAGAAGAATAGTCTGACCCTAACCTTTCATATTTGGCATAAGAAATTTGAAAAATATACAAGCATTTGTATTCCTCTAGAGGTGTATGTGATGACACAGATGTGAATTATTACTAGCATTAAAGGTTAATATATGATGATATGCTGTTCTTATGGGTACAAAAATATGTATTAAAATTGATACAAAATTCTGTTCATGGGCAGTAAAAAATATATTTTTTAAATGTTTATGATGGGTTCTTCTTTCGCTCACTGAGGTATGATAATAAAACATATTATGTGTGCATTTGTCCCTTTATCCCTTGTAATATCACACATCAATGATTTCTAAAGGCCAGCTGGTCACGTGCATCGGTGCTGACTGTATAGTGGGTTCATCCAATAAAGGAAATGGAATGAATTATATCAGCTACTGTTATATCATTAACCAAGGTTAATAGAATTTTTCGGGCAAGAACACGCTGCTGAGAAAGAAGAGTGAGAGAGGGAGATTGCAGATAACTGTATGAAGAAAGCAACAAGAATGCTTGTTAGTAGTGTTGGAGAAACCTTTATCGAGTGAGAAACAGAGAGGGATTTCATGCATGACTGACTCTGCCAGCTTCACATGCCTGTAGTTACATAAGAGAGCCCTTAAGTGTTAACCCTTTGCTTTCCTGTTTCCTAACTTATTCCTGGTGTCATGTTTATAAAGCTAATGGTATAACCGGAAAAACAGGAGAACTCACTCAAACACCTGTTTTGAAGAGTTTAGAGCTAGATTTTTTGTATGGCTGAAGTGAAGTTAAAATCCTCTTCTCATTTCCAGCTGGGCTTTGCTGACCTCAACTTAGCGGAGTTTGCTGGTTCAGGCTCCACTGTTCGCTGCTGTATACTAGAGGGCTACGACACCAAGAACACTCGGCAGGACAACTCCATACTCAAAGTGAGTGTGTCTCTGTGTAAGCGCTGTCGGTCTCTTATCTCATTTCAGGACTGACACTACACATGTCCATTTTGATCGGCTTCGGTCCGACTGAAAGCTCAAACACTGCCTTTTTCATCTTTAAAAGGCCAGGAACCTCTTTTTCCACATTAATCTTAGCAACAGTCTATTTGCCGTCAATACAAACATCGTCATCTAGACTTTCTGCCAGGGGCGTAGCCATCATTTCAGAAGTGAGTCAACAGTGTCAACAGTGTCAGATCCTTCAGAAATCATTATAATATGCTGATTTGCTGCTCAAGAAAACTTTTTAAATTATTATTATTATTATTATTATCAATATTTAAAACAGTTGAGTAAATTTTTTCTGGATTCTTTGATGAATAGAAGGATCCAAAGATCAGTATTTATGTGAAATAAAAAGCTTTTGTAACATTATACACTATAGCATTCAAAAGCTTAGAGTCAGTATAATTTTTTATTTTTTTTGGAAAAGAAATGATAGAAATTAACACTTTTATTTAGCAAGGATGAAAAAGACATTTATAATGTTACAAAATATTTGTATTTCAGATAGCCTAAATGCGGTTCTTCTGAACTTTCTATTCATCAAAGAAACCTGAAAAAATTCTACTCGGCATCATAATAATGATTTTTTTTTAGCAGCAAATCAGAATATCAGAATGATTTCTGAAGGACCGTGTGACTGGAGTAATGATGCTAAAAATTTAGCTTCGAAATCACAATAAATTACATTTTATAATATATTCAAATAGAAAATAGTTATTTTAAATAGCCTAGTAAAAATATTTCAAAATGTTACTGTTTTGCGGTACTTTGGATCAAATAAATGCAGGCTGGTGAACAGAAGAGACTTCTTTAATAAACATTAAAAATTTAAACATTTTGACTGGTGTATAGGCAACTTTAATTGTTCTCTAATTTCTAGCTTTTAATTGACTTATAAATCAGATAACTGCTGGGCAATAACCAATAATAATGATTTGTTCATATACTACAAACACTTTTTTTTATCACATAAGGCAGAATAGTTTCAATACTGTAATAAGTGCTATGTCAATTAGCACTGCATTGTTCATATACTTTATTTATTACCTGAAGATGACTTGACAAACACAGATAAACCATATATTGTCCCAATCGTATGTTTAATGTCTTCATGTTTCCAAACGTTTCTGTTTTCTGTGAAAACAACTGTTTTCATACAGCGATAGCTGGACGCTTTTTCATATTAGGAATTTCCTCATACGACTTTCTGCTCGGGAGCGCCCTCCGGCTTCCAGTATGAATGAAACATACACTGCATGAGTGTTTAGTGCTCTGCGATGTTCATCTCAATTTATTCTGGGTCCGAATAAAACATCAGATCATGCACAGACTATCCTGTCTCTTTGAATTTAAATCTATATTTATTCACACCGGCTCTTGAAAACCTCTATGCGAACACACTTGCCCGAAAAAGTGCGGGGGACTAATTTACGTGATATTAAAAGTGGGGGGGGGCACGTTCCCCGCCTAATCTACGCCCCTGCTTTCTGCACTGTGTGGGCGATATGTGACTGGTCAAACCATCTCATCAACCCACAGTCAGTCCCTGTTATGACAGACTGACTGACTCACTGTCTTGTAGACATGTCAAGAGGGAAAATGTGAAGGGAAATGGAGCAGACAATTTAATGATAGATATTTTTGTGATTTTTACTCGTTTTAAATCTAGATTTCATGTGTAGATTCCCACAAGCAGACAGTTTTACTATCAAAATGCATTATGTTATGATATAGATATGGTTTTACATTTCACATCTTTTATTTTGTAATATTTTCATCTTCCGTCACAGGTTACCATTGGCATGACTCTTCGCTCTGGAGATCCCTGCTTCAAAACGTGAGTGTGTTGTATATTGTAGATTAACTTTATGACAAAAATCATAATTGTCGATTATTCCCTTGAAATTGTAATTGCAATTATTAATTATGATTATCACAATTTACATTGAATGATGTTACCACTGTTTGAAGCAACTGCGTGCCATATATTTATATGAAAATCAACAAGCTGAAAACACTCACACTGAAAAACTTTTATTGCTTTTCTATAGTATTAAGCCTCAAATGTCAACTATACATTGGATTGGTTTCTTCTTTAAATTATAAAAAGTAAAAATATGCATGATATTAAAACAATGGGGGGGGGGGAAACCCTTAAGATAACCTGTAGAAAGGGGGAAAAAAACACAAGCACTCAGAATAACATAAGTAGACTTTGAACGATTACGTAATTGTGGCATCTGTAATTGTAATCGCAATTAGAAATTCAATGCAGCTCTAATTGTTGTGGACAATGAGGGGCCTTGCAGTAAATAAACTGTTGTTTAGTTCTCTTGATTCATGCTCAGTATAGCACCCCTCTTGTTTATATTTGTAGGCGATGTGTAAGTATAAATTATTGATCAGTTGAGAGAATACAAGCTTTTATTGTTCCCTGATGATATCTGAACTTGTCTTTCACCTCTTCATCAGGCCTGTGAGCACAGCTAAGACCATTGCCATAGCCGGGCAGGACCCCTCTCTGCAGCTGGACCGCAAGGGAGAGGGCACCGCCGACCACTCTGCACCGGCCCTCGGTGGCAGCACTCGCCGATCGGTCAAAAGCAGACCATCTGTGAACAACTCTGGTATGACCAACACACCTACAAGTAGAAAAATCCTTTACATTTACAATTGAATTAAAAGTGCACAGTATTTTATGATGATTTTTCAACAACTGTTTTTGTTCGATATTTTGGGCTTTCTAAATAAATGGTGCTAGCCTGAGGTTGTTTGTTCTTAGGAGGACTTCAGGAGGGATTGGAGGAGAACCTGTCAAGTCCAGATGAAGTGTTTCACACGGGACATTCTCGCAACTCCAGCTTTGCCAGCCAACAGAGCAAAATCTCAGGTGGGACTCAGGGCACGATCAAAAGAGCATCAGGTACAGATTATAGCTGGTTACAGTATAAAAAACAACTTCAAACTACACTTCCATCTTAATTTGAACATTTTCTGAAATTAAAATTAATCATTTAGATTTACAACTGAATAAATTCTTTAGCAATTTACAATATGATACAGGAGCCAAGAGTAATACAGAGATTTTTGTGTTCTAAAATCACAAAGATTGATTGAGAGAAAATGTCACTTAAAGAAAGTGAGTGTACTTTTTCATTTGCATACACTTCCATTCAAAGGTTTGGGGTTGGTAATCGGTTTTTAATGTTTTTAAGAGAAGTATCTTATTCTCTTATAATTTGATAAAAAATACAGAAAAGTTATTTTAAATTGTAATAATATTTCACAATATTACTGTTTTTACTATTTGAAATATGTTTAAATGTAATTAAATCCTGTAATAAGAATAGTGTTTATTTCAAATAGAAATATTTTGTAACAATATGAATGTCTTTACTGTCACTTTTTCATCAATCTAGTGTATCCTTGTCTGAATATTAATTTCTTTCAAAAAAACCTTTGAACTGCAGTGTAAAACCTAAGAGGCTAAAAAGTTAAAGTGAAAATTAAATTCTTACGTTCTTTTGAACAATTTTCTTTCTTTTTTTACGTTCTTTCACAACACTGCTCATGAATATACTGTACTGCCCCCTCCCTTTCTCTTTCTCTTTCTAAGTAAAAATAACTTCGTCTGTCAGTATTTCAGTTTATTTCACTATTCTAATCTTTCACTTTGCTGCTGCTTTCAGCTTTGAATATTTGTGTGACTGTGAGTTTTGGTTCTGACAGCTCTGCGGTGCACACAACACAACAGCACAGCCAAGTCATCTGTGTTGATTCTCTCACTAGGGTCTTGTTAGTATCAAAATAGTCATATCCAGTGAGATCCTGCATTGTGCAGTTAAAATATAAAGTAAGAGCAAATGATTTGGAGAATCCTTTTTGTAAGACACCACTGAATAATTCCATTGTTTGTAGGGCTAGATCAGAGACAGTGACTCATAGTCACACGTCTGTCCTTGGCGACTGCCTCTGTGTTTCTGACCAGCACCTGGTGTGCAATAGGAAACAGTGTACAATAGACATGACAGTGAAATAGAGAGAACGGAAGGCCCAGTTTTCTGTGTTTCTCTGTCATGTACTGCTTGTTTGGCATCTAATTAGTTATTCATGATCTTTGTCATGGAGATGAACCTTTCTCAGTTGATCTGAGAGCATTCACCACATTAAAGACTGACATTTTGTTTTATTTTTTTGTCAGTTGCGAGAAAAGTGCAATGTGGGCTTGTTGTTTTGTAAAAGCCCATTTTAATAAGTTCTTTCAGGGAATTGAGCCCTGAAATATTTCACCTGTCCAGTGGCTTAAAATTACACGTTTGAACAGAATCACTGTTCACTAGTATACTAGAGAGGTGAGGGTTAGTTACATTCACATTCATATTAATTAACGCTCTTGTTATTAATGCCATTAAAAAAAAAAACGACTCTGTGGCATGATCCAGCTGCTTCTCTACAGGATTAGTACTCCTGGAAATTTAAAGTAACACTAACTTTTAAAGGGCAAAATATACAGTATGATAGTTATGCGGCCTGATAAAGCGGGTTCTGGATGTTTCTGCTTAGCTAGTATAAGGGGATTCTCTGAAGACACTGAAAAACGTATCTAATTGTTTTCATTGTTTACTCTTTGTAGCTTTCATCTACTCTTACACAAAAAAGCTATTAGCAACTAAGAACAATAACTATCCTGTCATCTTTATTTTCGAGCCAGCGGGCTGGTTCACTGGAATCTCTTTAAGGGGGATTTCCCCCTCAACCTTGATGTCAAATAATTCTAAGTCTAACATTTGTGTTGAAATAATGACCATCCGTGGTTCTTGTTCTTTCTCTCTTCGTCTTACAAACACTTTTGTAATGTTCTTAGTGATAATTGACTGTAATCTGTGATCTTTCTAATGCAGAAGAGTAGATACATATACTTGATTTAAGATGCTGTTGCAGGGAGCAGACTGGGGTCTATATGCAAAAGTTGGAAGCAAGAGGGATGATGTCAGTTTTTGTACATTTCAGTAATCTGGAGCTTTTGTTCTCTTTAAAAATAAGGTGGTTTAATCAATGCGTGCACATTAATTTATTTATATATAAAATAAATATTGTTTTAAATATGCAAATCTAAGGTTCGAACAGCATTGAGTGGCACAGGCTCCAGGATACTGAAACCTCAGATGATATACATGTAAAGTTCACTACAACAGCACTTAAATACCGAGGACTAATGTCACTCACACATTCTCCAGAATGTTGATCTTCATTTCTCCTGTGCTATCGTAAAGGATGAAAGCTATGCACTTACAGAAAGCTTTCCATGATTGCATCCGTATTAATGACAGCAACATTCATAAAGTGAAATATATTCTGGAGATTTCTTTCAAAATGAATTTACCACTAAAGTACTATGGAAATGAATTTATTTTTTCTGATTGTGACAAATATTTATATATAAGCAATGTGGTGTTGCTCCAAAGTTTTCTTGGTGTTTTGTTTGGTTTCATGCATGGAGAGGATACTTACTAATGATGGACCGGAACTATATTTCTACACTCAAATGTGAATGTTTCTTTCTTTAATGTAACTGTCAGGTGCGGTTATCTGTATGCATTATTTGGGGGAAATAAAGATAATGTTGGTTAATAAATAAAAATATTTGTTGTGTGATTTATTTACCATCCAGCTAGGCTATTAACTCGCCATGACGAATGATTTACTTGTGAAGTAAGTTATGTTTTTTAATTGCCAGTACACGGAATGCATGTGTGCTAATTAGCTGTAGTAATGAAGCTGAAACTAAATATAATAGGTCTACAAACTGTCCCATTTGGTTCAGTCTCAACTTAGTTCCTTTAACTAAACTAACTTAGTATATTTGACATGTAGACATTGTGCTGGTGCTATACATTAAATTAAACAAGATAACCAGATGATAGTAGAATATATTCTTGTACAGAGTCTTGAAACTGCTTCTGTAACCTGCAGGAGGACTGCTGTAGCTCAGTCATAACGGCTAACTTTCCCGATTCCCTCTCTGTGCTACAAAAAAATATCATATGTTAATATGAGATGTGCATTTAGCGCGGCTTCTAACCAGTAATTATCTGTGTTTGAGCGCCCTCGTGTGCTGGAATTTTTTTTTTTTTTAGAGAGATTAAAAAACTACAATTCCCAGCACGACTTCCGTTGTTCGTCGGAAGTACATTTCTAAAGCAGGACAATTTGGTTTCATGCGGAAGTGACACGTTCATAATGGTAAGATGATCTGAAATAGACGTGGAAGTGTTATGGTTTTTTATGTCTTTTTTTGTCGTTTGCTTGTATGTGTATTCATATTATGCCTAGTTGTTGCTCGCCGCGTTGTTCCTGGTTGTTAACTGTGCAACTTTCCAGTTAATATGATTAATAAGCAACACCAGAGTCCGTATTTAGGCGACATAGAATAATTCACTAATAAAAGAATAGTTCTTATTCATTAATTTAAATGTATTTGTTCAGTAGTACTTCTTTGTTCATTGCTTTATGACCGCTAATGAATAATTTGACCTGCCACAGAGATCCAGACATAGAGACACTTCATAAACACTATAGATATAAACACACTAACTTAAGTGTGCATCTTTAAACTTGCCTTAAAAACACATCATTTGTTTCTTTCAGTGTGGGGTATAGAAGTCAATAAAAGACAACATATTAATTCCTCAAAAATTAAATATTTATTTTATTTGTTAAAATATATTATGTTTAACATTATATGTTTGCGTTTTATATTAAATGTAATTTGCACTTTTATTTAGGCTTATATTTAAGCTCTAAAAAACATTTCTTTTCAGGCAACAGGAGCAGATCAAGCTGTTGGTTTTGGACTTGTTGGTTTTAGTCTGTTGCTGTTTGCGTATTACACTATTTGGGTCATAGTCTTGGTAAGTGTGTGTGTGTGTGTGTGTGTGTGTGTGTGTGTGTGTGTGTGTTTTACTCTTAAACTTGAACAACATTTAAATGTGATGAATTAGTTTAGCAGTTTTCCAAATTGATATGACACCCATAACATGCTTTGTTTCATACGCTACTGAAAAAAATATTGAAGTGATCAAACACTGATGCAGACTTTTCTGCCCTCGTTCCAGCCTTTTGTAGACGGTGACCATGTGATCCACAGCTATTTTCTTCCACGAGAATATTCAGTCATACTTCCTGGAGTTGCAGCATTAATCCTCTTACTTTTTGTTGGTAAGCAAGCAATCCATGAACATAATGTTAATAGTATATCAAGTTCAAAATGTTTGTAATTATATCCACACCCCTTCCGAACAGCTGTGACAGTCACATCTTTCAAGAAGTAGCAGAAGACACACCTCTTCTGCAAGCACTTAACCACCGCAAACCCTTAAACCAATGCACTTATACACAAAAAGCACTTACTTTTCTTCTGTGCATTACTCCGCTTGTCTAACTTGCTTCCTAATCTAGTTGTAAACCTGCATTGTGAATAATGTGGCTCCTTGACAAATTGCTTTTGTTCCTCTTTGGATAAAAGCATCTGATAAATGCATTAATGTAACATAAATGTAAATCCAACAATACAGCCATATTTTTTTACACTTTCAAAACAAATCTGAATTTTTTTTGTCTACTCTAGTGAACAAATTTACCCTCATTGTTTTTGTTTTTTTCAAGGCACCTTCATAGGGGTGGTAACATGGAAGAATCGAAAACCTAAGAAAGTTGATTAAGACTCTCCAGGCTGTTGTGATTCATCTGGTCACAAGAACGAACTTTGTTGATTTCACTCATGTACCACTACCACTTCCTGTACACAGCCATGTGAAGATCAACTCCAAAGCTGCTCTCCTGGATTCCAGTTATTAGACATATTCAGGTGGCTCCTAAAATAAACAACAAAATAGATTTCATTAATAGCCAAAGCAGTACTGAACATGTAGCTGCATAGTAGTCTGTTTGAGTTTTGTGCACCCAATGGCCACAACCTTGATTGAAGACCACTATAGCTTTGGAGAATTCTTTCCATAGTCAGGGAGATAAAAGCAAATAATATGTGAGAACACACTTTAGGCACCTAAGAGATGGGGTAGA